CTGCAATGAAGTAACACCAAGCAACAGGAAATATTACAGCAACACTGTATGGGTGTCAAACTTAGTTCATCTAAAGGCCATGTGGAAAATGAGAATATTGGCCACTTCCTGTTTTCTTTCTTCTTTTTTCTTTGCATATTTGCCACACTTGTATGTTTCAGATCAAACAAAATCTAATATTAACAAAAAATAACTGGAGTAAATAGAAAATGCAGTTATAAACGAGGATTTCATTCATTACGGGAAAGAAATTATTCAAACCTACCTGGTGTTGTGTAAAAAATTAAATGCCTCTCACGTGAAATCACAGATTAACTGTGATTAACCACATTTTTTTGGAAGCTAAGTGCAATGTCACTAACTATAATCACAAAGTAAAAAGGCTAAACGATCAACAAAAATGTAACACATCATGCTGAGAAAAAAACAGTTGAGAAACAAAGTCACTGACGTATCGATCTTGAAAGAATTACAAACCTGTTTCCGAGACTTTGGGAATCCAGGAAATCGCAGTGTGTCCCCAAATGGAGGAAACTTGGAATAGTGGTGAACCTTGCCAGGAGTGTCCGGCTTACCAAAATTACTTCAAAAGCTTATCAGCAAATCATCCAGGAGATCACAAAAGAACTAAGAGCAGCATCTACACAGTTTAACATGAAGGTACATCTCACATTTGCAGAAAACATCCTGATTATCCTCAAGACATCTGTAACAAAATATCCTGTGGACTGATGAGAAAAGGTGAATTTTGGAAGGCTTCAGTTCTGTTCCATGAGAAGTAAGGACTCATCTGCAGATACTGCAAATGCTCGATTGTAGTTATTCGTGCCCAGATGTTACGTTTAGGGGACAATGACTTTTTCACACAGGGAGAGTTAGGTTTGGATAACCATTTCCCTTAATTATGTAAAATGTTTGATGCTAAAAATTCATGATTATGCACACCCCCCCCCCCCCCAAAAGAACAAAAACAAAAAACAAACAAACAAAAAAGCAAAGAGGGAAAATACTTTTTTCACAGCACTGGTAAATCAATTTCAAACTTTTAAGCTTGAATTAAAAGAAACGAACGCTTGTGCAGCTGCATACCTCTTTTTGTATAGATATTTTCTGACGCATTCCCATCTTGGCGCCTTATGTCTGCTATACATAAATTCAAATATGAAAATGATGATGCAAATCATGTTCTCTGATAACCAGGAATTGGTTAATGGCAGATACACACCCTTCTGTCTCCTTCTACCAAGGGTTTCATCCACAAACTTGTTAGCTTGCAGGTGCTGTTGAGGCCTTACACGGAAGCCTAATTTGAAATGTTAAAGGGATGGGTTTTGAATTTGCAAGTCTTATACTCAACACCATGCATCCTCTTCTGCTTATCAAATTCATGGTCGCAGGTGGTGTGGTATCCCAGCTACCACACCCTAGACAGGTCAGCAGTCTCTCAAAGGGCTAACACAGACATTTCATTACACAAAAACTTAGGACATAAAAAAATGTAGGTTTACAATACCTAAAGGCAGTGAAAACAAAACAACACCCATGACCTGTAGGCCTGTGAGAACCAAAAGGTTTTAAGTCTGGTTTTGAACGTATGCACAGATGTAATTGATCTCAAATCAGCAGACAGACAGCTCCACAGTAACTGAAAGCAGGCTCAGCAGACTGAGATGCGAGGCGAGAACAGTTACAAGATCTGAACCTGATGACCCGATAGGTCTTAAAGGTGATTCTATATTGCACTGAGAGCCACTGAAATGCCTTCAATACAGGTTTCCATGTACCTGTAAGGATTCTGGCTGCTGCATTTTGAATAAGCTGAAGACGTCCTACTGATGATTTGAGTCCTGCAAATAGAGCGTTGCTATAATTTCCCCTACTTGATATGAACAAATGGACCAATATCTCTAAATTGGTTTATGAAAAGTGGCATCCCTGTGCAGAATGATGGACGCTAAGATTCACTGCTCAAACTTTCAAATAATGAGATCAGTGTACAGCTTATAATTAAAGGCTAAGAGCTCAGCATTTACACTCACTCCAGTTTCTAGGTTTCTGCGTAATGTCAAAGCGGATAGCTACCTTTATCACCTGCTAAAAGGTTTGAAAATGATCAAAAACATTTTACCCCCTGCATACTTCTGATCGTGAAATGTTTTAAAAAGTGCTCTAATGTGGCCATCCCTCTACTGATGCATTCACTTTAGTTGCTCTGCAGGATGCAGTCAGCTGCTCAAAGGCAAGCAAAGGACAGAACAGCAGGGAGAGCCTGCCAGCATCTGTTTAGACGAATTACAGTTTACAGGATGCCATCTATAATTAGAACAAGTGAATCGATGGCATTACAGCACTGGCACCTTGTAATAAGAGACGGTGGAGTCAGCAAAAATCAATTAGATGAAAAAAAGTGACATAAAGTGAAGGAGAAAGACAGGAGGGGGGAAATAATTGGCCGAGGGATGGTAGGTATCATGTTATGCAGGCTCCTGCACCTCCCTCTCCACTGTTTTGACTCCTACTACCCTCTGCGTCTTTAGCACTTTTTTTTTTACCTTCACATCCTCATGCGGAAACCACCTATTTGCTGTGAGGGACACACATGCACTGTGCGTCCTCGCTTTACTTTTTGCAAGCACTGTAAATGTTTTGTCTCTGTTCAGAATGCTTAAACGGAACAAACATTCCTCGTGCAGGCCTTGAATGTGGAAATATTTCAGCATATTTACACACCTAAATACTTCCTCTGTACCACACACACACACACAAGTGCAGCTGTAAGTGGATTTGCCATGGACGAAAAGGGATACGGTGAAACTCTAATGGGGCAGTGGATCAAATGAATCAAATAATTTTCAGGCTGGGTTAAACTGTAAATACAGGTAAAAACATGTAAGGACATACTGGTCTTGACATTTCAATTGTCTGTTGTGTAGCTAACTTGCAAAGCAGCGTCTCACAAGATCACAAGACCATCTGGCATGTTGAGTTCTCTCTGCACAAGGGTAAAAGGAATATGCCAACAGATCTAGACAAACCAGAACTACATTATTCTGTGGGAAGGAGGACTTGGCAGGCAGATACCAATGACATGTTTTGGAAAGTGCAATAAAATGACCTGACAGACACACAAATTGTTAACCGCCTGCTGTCTATCACTTCCCTATTCATCACGGAGCTCTGTAGCAGTATGGCTTAATCTAAAACAAAACAACAAATCAAAACTTTTACAAGATACCAAAGTGCAATCAAAACTCCAACGTCAACAACACTGCATGTTACAAGCAGCACGTCTCGCGAGGCTGTTAAAAGAAACCGTATTATTAAAATGCAAATGAGCAGGAAATTACACATAAAACTCTGGACGGCAAAGTCGTGTTTTATCTTCAGTTTAATAGCATACAGCATCTTTTCATAAATACTTACGCGTTCTTCAACAAATACTGCCTAAAAATTAGCATCACCGAAAGTACAAAGTTGTCACGTGGATGTGAAATTTTGTTAGGCCGGTGCAGGAGGAGCCAACAGCAACTTGAAGCAAAGGTTAAGGCGAGTGAATATTAACATCAGAAACAGTCGTGACGTTAGGCTCAGTGGCCTCTGTGGGGAAGTCAGGGAGTTCCCAGTGAATCTGAGACGAGTCGAAACATATCTGTTAGATGAGCTGTGCACGCTTTAACACGTCTGTTAGGTGTGCAGGGCCTGGAATGACTGCCGCTTGATTAAATGGACTTGAGAAAGATATCAGAAAGCTGTTAGGGGTTAGGGGCAGTAGCCCTTTCATACCAAGAGCTGATTAAAGTTTAGAAATGCGTACGTCTTCAAAATATGACTAAGAGTGAAAAGACAGCTGAGCTATGACACTACCCTGTAAATTCGAAGAAGCACCGTAAAAGGCACGCAGGTTTTTCTGCAGCATTTAGAGTCTGATTGTCACTGAATACCTAAGACATGTCTGACTTTCCCAAAACCTCACCCAAACAGGACCTTGGTTTATCATTTTAGTAGTCTTCCAAAGATTGGTACATAATAAATAGGCAGAAGAGTGAAATATTATGGACAGAGACTTAACTTTGACTATAACAAGCTTAACAGGCTGCTCCAACAGAAGGCACTAAGCACAACAGGAACACAAATACACACTTGTTTTTGGCACTTAATCAGAAAAAACCCCAAAGCAGAGGCACAACCAATACTGACTGTTGTCATATAAAAGTGCAGCTGGTGACAGAGCATAACCAGCAGTGGCGATAAGACCGAGGGGCTATCATCTCTAATAACATTACCCTCACCGGGTTCATAAAGGAGGACATGCATGACCTTATGCAAGCAGCAGGGTGCCTGTGTGAGTCACAATCTGTCCCACAAGCACTTGAATTTTAACAGAATTACTGCTAAAATTGAATTTAAAGTTGAACTGTGAGTTGCTTTTACTGGGTACTCTGTCTGGTATGTCCAAGGAGTCGGCTGAGAGGGAGCAGAGGAGACAAGATGGAGCCTAGAGTGACCCCCCCCCCCCAAAAAAAAGATGACAGGAATGGAAAAATGGAAGCAAAAGAAAGTCACGTAGATTGTTTTGGTTTACAGATTTGAGTCACTTAAAACCAAACAGAAGCCATCAGCATAAATGTGAAACCAAAAGCCAGTAAAAGAAATCCTGATCTCCTTCCTTCTTCCCTGCTCTGCCAAACCATACCAAGCTTAAAACAACCCACAAAGGTCAGCTTGTCTGAATTCAGACTATTAGATTACTCACTGCATAAACGCACTTGAGCAAGTAAAAGGAAGCTATACTCGGCTATAATTAGCCAACATCTATTTTTAAAAAAGGGAACACACCTTTGTATAAAACCCAGCAACAGGAGTTAGTGGCTTTTGTGTTTGCTGTTCTGATATAATACAAGAACATCCGCATTCAGGACTTAATCAGTGCGAAGCTGAGAGCGGGGTGGAGCATAAAGGCAGAGGCAGATGCCATTTTGGTTCAGGAATAACCGGCTCTGTTTCACTGAGCACTTACATACTATATTGTGTTAATACCGCTACCCTTTGATAGGATTCCTATACAGGTTAAAGTTACGCAATGCAAGAACATTCTCATCGACGTGCAGTTAAGGCTGAAAAGATAAATAACACTGTAGATACAGTTTATACACATAAAGAGTAGGGATGCACCGATCCGACTTTTCTTTGAGATATCTGCAGATACAGAGTATCGACAATAAATTATTAAGCTGCACTTGTCACGCAGAGGATTCATTTACTTATATGTAAAGTAACATGAAGCAAATAAACAACTCAGTTACTGAAATGAGACATAAAAACAGGGACTCCTGCCATCTAGGAAACTAAGCTGAATAAACACAAATATCTTAAAAAAAAAAAAAGAAGTATTTTAATATTGTATACAACTAATTTATGTGCAGCTGTTTCATTTCAGCTTCACGTCAAAGTCTCCACTGCATTTTCTCTCCTCTGCTCTTGTGTGGCGAAGGAGACAGACAGGCCAAGTGAAGAAGAGGTTAACCGTATTGACCGCAATAAGCTCCTTAGAGCAAAATGTTCATGCGCACAGAAATAAACTGAGATATACACTGATCTGAAATCTTTGCCACAGATGCCCGATCCATCAGATCTGTGCATCCCCATTTAAACACTTAAATTTACCTGCAGTTATTACACTGGTAGGATCTTCAGTAGTCATTTAATATTTTCTAGTAGTCACATTTCAACAGTTTAAAAACAAAACAAAACAAGAAATACGATCTTATTATATATTATTACATATTATTCTGTTTTATAATATGATTGTCATCACACCGATTTACACTTCGGTCAGATTATGTGTTGAAGGGAGTATAAAGACAGTTTTGTTCTTCATTCATTCTTCTTCAAACTGTGTTAGCAGGTAGAGCCACCCTCTGCCTTTGAATAGCTGTTTGTGTGCAGGTCTGCTGTTCAGGGGTTTCTGCAAGAAGAGCTGGGGTGATGTTGTTGCACAGATCAGAGTCTGCACTGGGGTCTGTGACACTGCCGCTCTGCTCAGTGGGCTGGCGAGGCAGTGCAGGAGGGGGGAATGACGGTGACTGGAGGATGTCCACGTAGCGCTGGCTAGGCTTGGTCTCCCTCTGCAACACTTTTCTCAGCAGTGGTTTCAATAGCCCAACAGTCACCTGAGTACTGTGGGGGTCTGTGAAAGGAGGAGTAGAAGAGGTTGAACTGGACGCCAGGAAAGACGAGGAGTGGGAGGGAGTGTTGGGAGAGGGGAGGTTTTTCAGGACCATGTTCAGGATGGTGGTGACGGTGAAATCCTCAGGGCAAAGTGTCCACAGCAAATCCAGGTAGGGATCCAGGTCTCTGTGATGGGCCACCTCACACAACAAAATAGTGAAAATCTCCTTGTTGAGCAGCGGACTCTGTTTACAGCACTTCTGGGCCACCTGGGTGACCCGATACCACTGCTTCTTGCTCATGAGGATCCGCAGAGCCTGTAGGATTGCGTTGGGTCTCCCACTCACCAGCAGCAGCTCCACCTCTAGGTCCTGCTGCTGGTCTCTGTCTGGGTTTAAGCTGGACAGAAGGTACAGTGCTCGTTTATATAGTGGCACGTTGCTTTCATTGCAGTCCCCTCCTCTCCCACTAGAAAAACTCCAAGAGGAAGCCGCCAGGCCCAGACCCAACCCCGTCGAGCCCTGCTCCTTCTGGGCGAGCTCGAGGAATCTGGGCAGCCAGCTGGGCTGGAAATGAAAAACTGACCTGCAGAGGAGCTCAAACACAGGCAAGGCAGCTGAGGAAGTGGAGGTTGTAGATTTTCCTTTACAGTTTGTAAAGTAATCGACCTTAAGGCTGCGATTGTGTTTTGGTCCCCCATTGGTTAATGACAGGGAGGCTACAGGGCTGGATGACAGACCAGCACTGAGAACAGTTTTCCACACATCAGGGGGAGCTCTGCTGGACAGAAATCCTTCACCGTTGTAGTGTAGCTGCAGAGCAGACTGCGCCGCCTTCCAACCCTCGGAGGGAAAGATGCTGAAGATGGAGTTGAGGTACAGCAGAGCCTCTTTATCCAACTCAGGAGACGACAGAAGCCTCAATACTTCTTTCTCAACTAGACTCTCACACATTGCCTCCACCTCTTTAACACTACCCCTCACTAAAGTCCCCTTCACTTCCTCCAGCGAAACCAGAGCCTTGAGCTCAGCCTCAAGAGAACCCATTAGCTTGTCTTGCCCTGTGATACATCCACCTCCTCCATTCTGGGACAGCTGTGCTCCCTTTTGCTTGAAGCCTGCGCTGAGGTAGCTGAAGAGGATGGAGGCTAAAGAGATGGGAGCCTGGAATCTCCCCCCTTTCTTCAGCGAGTCCACGGTGAGCGGGGTGCTGCTCAGGCTCCTCTGCTGGTAGTATTTACAGGCCTCTTCAAAGACAGCTTCTACCAGGAGGGCTCCAGGATGAATACTCTCCACTGTACTGAAACCAGGAGACTTTATTCTGAAGCTGCAGTCTCTGGAGTCCGTCCCCCTGCTCACCACTACAAAAAGTCCAGTTTCTGAGAGTAGGTGAGGTGTACACATATCTGCCCTGTTTGTATATAATAATGCTTCACTCATCAGCACAATCTTTTCCAGCTCTCTGCCACAGTTCAAGTCTATCAGATGCAGGTTTTGCCCCATAATTAGTGCCAGGGTGTCCTCATACATACCAAGGCTAGTGTGAGTGCTGTAATTTACCAAACAGTTGTCTTCTAGTTTGTATACTTGCCGCAGGACCCCGTCTTTCTGCAGGAGACAGAGCCAGCCTGTGCTGAGCAGCAGGAGGAGGCCTCCACAGGCTGTGGGTGAGAAGCTGCAGATCTCAGGTGGCTCAAGAGGAGACAAATATCCTAAGCAATCGATTACCAGCTTCATAAAGTCAGACTCTTTAGCTGAAAGCTTTTTAAGGGGGGTGTTTTTACATGTGGTGCTGACTGTAAAGGAGTCATAGCGAGGGGACCAGGAGAGGAAGAATTTGGAGATGTTCAACAGCGGCTTCGACTTCAAGTCAGGAAGAAGGTGCACATATTCCCCTGAGCTGACCACAGTAAAGTCAGGATTATTGTGGAGGGCGATTTTCACCCCTCCCAAGCTGACAGCCGTCTCGTTCACCTCAAAGTCACGTCTGCAAACACAGTTTCTCAACTTATTCCTTGTGGCGCTGAGGACAGGGGAGCTTTCTGACGGCGGCCGCTCCTCGCACCAGATGATAAGATTAGAGCAAGCACAGACAGATACCACTTTAGCCCGGGGACTGTTGCACAACTGTGATGTCTGCAGGAGATGCCAGCCAGACTTGCACTCCTGGAACTTCCAAAACTCAACTTTCCCACTTTCATAAACCACTGCCACGACCGCTGCACCGCTGCTGCTGCCGCCGCCGTGATGCTCCAGATAGAAAATATCCACGATGGGCACGTTTACGCACAAATCCAGTTTCTTCTGGTTAGGAGCCAGCTGGGGTCTTTCATACTTGTCAAAAGTCACAAGACTGACCTTAGGCTTGCGGAGGACGACATGGATGTGACGTCCATCTGGGCTCATGCGAACACTGTTTATCTGCTCGTTGTTATTCAGACTGAGTATCTCTGTCAGCTCTTTACCGTGAGAAAAGTCCCCGAAATCTGACAGCTGCTTCAACACCAACCCCGCCATATTTCTCCGTTTCCACACCGAGCAGCAGCCCGTAAATACTTTGCCACAGCGTATTAACTAGCCTGCTAGCTTCTGTGGCACATAATCGGGGTCCAGAGTAGCTAACTGAATGGCATCCCGTTAATCTTCATCCTCAAGGTCCGTGCGTGGACAGACGTCCTTCGACAGCCGTCGTCCCCGGTAACGCCATGTCTGTCGACGACAATGAAGGCAAACAGTTCGCTAAAACTGACCTCTGGGTAAGTTTTAATCGAGAAAGGCGCTCTACTCATTCCACTGCTATGCTAGCGCTCCCCTAACATCACGGGATTGTTAATTTCCGGATACTCGGGCTGTTTTGCATAAGAGGAGGAGCCACGGCTGCAAAGATCGTGAGCGAGCAGAAGGAAGAGCGACAGCAGAGCAAAAGCGATACATATAGTACAAGAAATGGTGACGAGATCCGGTACATACGTTTGGAAACTCTTCTTTAATATTACTGACAGCACTTAATTAAACTTATTAGAATGTGTTGAATGTGAAAGCTGGAACACGCAAACACAAAAACTGTGATACGTACTGCTTATGTCTATGGAATAAGAAGTGTAACTTTAGTTATTGTACTTGTTTCGTCTTATTTTGTTACGTTATGTTATACATATTGATATCACCTAGTAGCCTGTGCAGTCTTATAATATGACTTTACTCTGAATTTATTGTATTATTAATTACTTCAATTAATCACTTCAATATTTTTATAACACAGGGGTGGGCAATTAATTTCCCCAAGTATCTGTCTGTCTGTCTGTCTGTCTGTCTGTCTATTGTAGTGATTGGACAGTACGTTTTTCTCACTAACTACAGCACTGGAAACATAGCTGGCAACTAAATTGAGCAGGGTTTGTGCACTAGTACAAACCCTGCACTCACCCAGTTCATTCTGTAGTCTTAGTCTTAGTGAATCACTTGCTTACTTTGTTGTTTGTATACATGATTTGCAGGTACATCCATTTCCCCCCAATAGAGAAACAATGGAGTAACTTTGGAGCTTCAATAACAGTTCGATATTGTCTGAATAACATTCAGACAATGTTCAGTTTGGCCTGAAGTGTCACCTTGAGCAAGAGATTGAATTGCTTTCTGTTCCAGCTTGATAGCAGACTTTAACCTCTACCTTTGAAAGGTCAAGCAAATCAAAAGTACATGGCCCTTTGGAAATCAGTCCTTCCACAAGAAACATTATGAGAGAGACACAAATAGAAACTTGGTGGTAGATGTTTTTAAAAACTTTAATTTTTGAAAATAGGTGCAGACCTTTTAAGGATTTTTTTCGCAGATTTGACTGATGCTTGTTTACATGCAATTATTATGCCCCAGTTTATGCTGAAGTTTATTTAAACAATGCATCAAAATCACTATCCACATATGTGCGTGGGGGCATTTCAAAATGGCTGTCAGTGAGGACTGTGGTTCCACATGTTGTTGCAGTGCATTAAGAAAAATAAGGGCAGGGAATTTGCTCAGCAACGCTGGTGCTGGAAATAGCTTAAACACACATGAAGAACGAATGCTTTTCTGCTCGGACAGCTTTCTTAAAAGGTTGTTTTTAAACCAGTACGATGTAACTATGGAAACCAATGTACCTCCATGGATCTGGTGGCAAGAGTCCATCTTTACTGGCACAAAGCGAGAAACTGCTCTAGCACATCCGTGTTCATTTTGGCAAAAGGGTGCGAAAAGCGACCGCCGGCCAATAAACAGTCTCACCAGAGTTCATACAAACCTGAGAAAGTGACTCACTTAAATCAGCATCCAAAGGCCGAGCCAGCTCGAATACCACGTGTGTGGTTGCAGGAGGATTTGAAAGGTGATGTTGGTCAGGCTTAGTGTCTGTAAACAAACAGCCTGGTAGGTATTTCAAAAACAGCTAACATAGCACACACAGGTAGAAAAAAACAATTTTGCCTTGGATAGAAAATACAGTTTATTACACTGGGAGTGAAAGGCTCAGCGGTGACTCAGTGGAAGTGAATGTCTGCAAGTTATTGAGGCCATGTTTACTGCCTTAGCAAATTTCAGGAGCTATCAAGTTAGCCCACTCTGAAGCTTTGCTGAAGCTTATCTTAGAAGCATTTTAGCGAGAAAAACAAATCTAAGAAGGTGCTGATTACAATAATTTCCTTGAGTGTTCAAGCAGCTCTAAATTTTGCTGCTTTTATTTTTATAAATTAGTCAAGTTGTCCACAGAGACAAAACATACACGCGGTCTCGAGTGAAGTCTCAGTATTGTGATAAAATGTGGGCTTCTATGATAAAATTAAGGCCTGTTGAGCTTGTCTGTGTTTGATAATATTAACCAAATCAACAGGAAACCTTGTGATACCAATAGCATAATTAAATCATGCTGAAACTTCCACTGCCTGCCCCTAAATTGAGCTATCTGTTGCACAATCATATTTATGAGATTTTACTCCAGGTCAGTCTTTGCTAAATTTTAAACCACTAGATAAAAGTTTTTGCTCTGGCATGTGCAGTAGTTCACCTGATATCCAGGAGGAGGCAGTATTGATCTTCAATCGCTGCACTTTGGTGACTTTAAAGTTCAGAGTACAAAATAATGAAAAGAATATCTGTGAAAAGTGCCCACTGAGGTATGTGGATGATGTTTTTCTTATTCTCACTCTTACCCCGAGTGCACAAATGCACCGAATCTTACTCTAAAGCACGCCAGACAGCACTCGCTGTGTCTTTCAATTATTATCACATGTCTGCACAGAGCCAGCATCACAAGGCTGATGTCTTCTCTCGACCGCAGTTAGCTCAACCGGTCCCTTAAATCTCATGACTTTTATTGTTTCTATTTTACATCACTGCATCCAAGCAGTTCGAGCTTTCCAGTAAAACCTGCGGTAATCCTGATATGGCTGGATGAGAGACATGTTTTTTTAAATTAATTTTCCACCTACGTTTGACCAACTAGGTGATCCAAAACAACGATGTGTTAGTTACAAAAGCTGCATCTTTACACCATACTCAAATTCACATATTCTTCTGTTAGTGTCTGAAATTACAAGGGGACAAAGTTTGAGGAAAAGTGTGATATTTGGCTTTTACCTCCTTGACCTAGCTGAAGAGTAACTCAGGGTCGCCTTTTCAAAGCTTTAAGCTCCTATAGGCTAACTCCGCTGTGCCAGAAACCACTTTAAAGGAGACAGGCTACCCATTCATAGTAGTCTGTGTGCCTGTGTATTTATGTCCTATTATGTCTCTGTGTCATTGCTGATAAAAATATATGGATGCAGTATGTTATTGGAACAGTATATTTAAGCCTAGTCGCCTACAGACAGGCTTGCTTTGGACCAAAAGAAAAAAACCGCCTTCTATTAGAGAGTGTGTTTAGTCTGCTGTGCTGTAGACAGGAAGATAAAGTGCTTGTCTGGAGACGCAAAGAGGGCTGGATGCAGAGGAGATTTCCTTTTTGAGTTATAAGGCTCAGAAAAGAAAACCAGTGGCTACAAATGTTCGGTGCTCAGGGTACAGAAGATGCCTGTCAGCTTCACTTCAGTGTAGATTTGGTTTCATTTGAGGTCAATTCAGGGGTAAAAATTGCCTGTGCAGGAGGGATATTTGTCACCCTGCTTGGGCTTTGAGTGAGATGCGACTTCCGTGCATCTGTTTCAAATGAAAGTTGCAGCTGTCAGTCTCCTGTCTGCTGTGAGAACACGTGGATATTACTGTCAGTTTGCTCTGGCTGTTGAAAAGCTGTCATGTCCGCTGCCTCTCTGCCTCTCTTTAGTTAGCTTCACTGGGGAATGTTGTCTCGAGCTTCAGGGGTCTCTCACTGATTCTCCTCTGCGCTGACATGCAGCCCTGCTGTGGGAGATGAAGTCGTCCATCATTTTTTAAAAAACAAATATGCGCACAAATGATAATCAAGAATAAAGGGATCTAAATGCTGCTTGTCACATAGGATTGTGCGGAATATTAAACAAGAAGCTGAAATGTAAGGATTTTTGGTAGCATTACTAAAATATTTAAAGTTTTAATGCATTTGGAGAATAGAAAATTAAATAACCGCTATAAATCTGTAAGAAAAATGTTCCTCATATGGATTTTTTTTTAAATAGTTGAGAGTAATTCTTTGCCTTGAAAGGCAAATCTTTTTCTATCTACAGCTTATTTTTCAGAGCACTTCCCAGCAGCATCTATATTAAGGACTGTGTCTTCTTCTTCTTCGTCTTCTTCTTTCGGCTACACCCTGCACCACAGCTGACCATCTGCCTCCATCTCACCCTATCCCTTACATCCTCTTCTTTCACACCAACCCTCTGCATTTCCTTCTTCACTACTTCCATGAATCGTCTCCATAGTCTTCCTCTTTTCCGCCTGCTTGGCTGCTCCATCTTCAAAATTATCCACTATCCCTCCTCTGCACACGTCCAAGTGGAAATCCTTTCTTCTGTAACCCTTAGTTTGGCCTCTTGTCTTTTTGTTAGTGCCAAAATGTTTATTGGCCCTGATTATGGCCTAATGGAGAAAACTGATCTTAGCAAAATCCTTGAAATGAAACTTCTGACGTTCCTAAAACAAACTCCACGGAGAGGTTGTGGCGGTGCAGACAGATCTGTAGCACTGTCGCTCATAAAAGACACTCCGCCTCATTGGCTGATTAGATAACATACCATTTACAATTGGCTGTCCCTCCGCATTTAGCTGCGGCTCTTATCTCAATGATCCATACCCCGGCTCTGAACAGCAGTAGCATTAGCTCTCACATCACACTATTAATCGGATTCATGGCCCTTGGCTCATTGCAGGCTGTGCTCCTTTTTTGGGAGCTATTTTCCTCTCCTGTTTGTTTCTTATCTCTGCATCTAGTCTTCATAAAAAAGCACACAAAATGACCCTTGTCATTGCAGCTGCAATACTGTCTGTGACCATGGATTGGCAGTATGTGCATTAATGGTGCAGCAGCTCAAACTGGTCATGAGAGGATAAAAGAAGGTCACGCCATCACAGTTTACAGAACACTGACTGAACTGTATCTGTAACGTGTATCTAAGGGGCCAGAGTATATATACTTCACCATCAGATCCTCCTTCAGTCGGTGATTGTGACAAGCCAGTAACCTAACTCCATTTCCTTTGTGTTTTATAGCTATAGAAACAGGTGTGAGTCACTGCGCTCGCTGCTGCTTTGACTGCACAAAGTCTCACTGGAAGAGACTAGAAGATCAAAGAACAGGATTTGGCTTTGTCCTCCTTGATTTCCTGTTCATTTCACCTCACTGCCTCTTCATTAATCAAACTCAAATTATATCAAGGTCTCACTCAACCTCTGGTATTTATGCTCTTGGCTCTCTCTTTCCTCTACAACT